AAGCCTTGAAGACATTATTTCATTTGAGCTTGTTAGGCTGATACTGTTATCCCCATTTTACAGATGGGAAATAATGTGATTTGTCAAGGGTCAGGAAGCTAGTAAGTATAGGTCTTCCAGACCCAGTGCTCTCTGCTGTGCACGAAGTGATGGAAAAAAGGGAAACAGAAGAGACTGGGAAAGGGGTTAAAAGGCCCACACCTTCCAAACAGAGCCAACATGGGACCTAGGAGACCTGGAGTCACAGGAGCTTTGGGAGGGTCTCAGACTTAGAGATGGAAGGGAGCTCGGAGGACGTCTTGTCATTTTACAGAAAGTAGAGAGGTCAGGATTCAAACTCAGGTCCTGGGACCCCAGTGCCCCCTCCCTTTCTGCCACCCTGCTGGGCCTCCCTGTATCTACCCCGAACTTGCTAAGATGGCCTTCAGCCAGGGGCTCGACCAGTCCTGGGGCCATGGTTCGCTCTCCTGTAAAGCCACAGACTTCCCTCCCTCCCTGAGTGTGTGGAGCACAGAACGAGGTGGAAGGGTTCTAGCACAGCCAGGCAAACATCCAGGGGAAGATGATTTTAGAGCTTCCTTCTGCCCCACTGGTGCTGGAGACAGTGCTCAGCAAGATGCTTCTTGATCAGTTTTGGCCTTTCTGAATTCACCCAGTTCCTGACCCGGGATTCTTCTGGGTAGGAGGCCCTCATTGCCTCCCACCTCAATTACTGCACTAGCTGCTGGGGGGTCCCCGTCTCCACTCCAGTCCATCCTCCACTCAACCTCCACGGTGATTTTCCTAAAGCACAGCTCTGATCATGTCCTTCCCCCCTCCTCGTTAGCCTCCCGAGGCTCCCTATGGCCTCTAGAGGGCTCTGTTTGGCATTCAAAGCCCTTTGTCACCTGCCCCTCCCACCTTTCCAGTCTCCTTATAACTTACTCCCCCACACACAGTCTTGGGTCCAGCGACTCCAGCCCAGAGACCCTCCATCGTCCCCAGGCCTGAGTGATCATCCTCCTTTGCTCCAACTCCTGCTCTCCCTGGCTTCCTTTGGCATCCCAGCTTAAACCTCCCCTTCTGCCTCAGAAGCCTTCTCTGACCTCCAGGGCTCTGCTAAGTATTGCCTATTTATCCTGCATGTCGCACGCACCTGTTTGTTGGCTCCTCGTCTTCCCGAATTAGATTGAGAGCTCCTTGAGGACAGGGACGTTGCCTCTTTTTGTCGTGCTAATGCTTAGCACGGTGCCTGGTCCATGGTAAGCATTTAATAAATGTTTACTGCTTGATTGAGTGATTGAGTCCCAGAATCTCAGAGCAGTGAACAGACTCCCTTCCCTTCGGACTCCTGTGCCCTATTTTGGATAGCTCCCCCTGCTCTCCATGTCCCCATCTTAGGGACGCTCTCAAAGGCTACCGCTTTCCTCCATCCTGGCTTCTTCTCTCCATCTTTCTGAAGGGTCCTTTATTTCCTGACATCCACTTACCTGGGCCGTGGGAATCTCCCGTCCTGTCCAAGTTAGATTTCCAAAGGCCCAGGACCCACAGGGGCTGGCGTGGACACACAGATAGCCACCCAAGAGCATTATTTTCTCCAGCTGCTTTATTTTTTTTGTAGGGGAAGTCAGATCACAGATACTTCAGCACATTTGTTACACACATTTGTTACACTTCATGCAGTTAAAAACAACAACAACAATAGGGGTTAACTCTGCTCTTCAGAGCTGGTAGGTTAGGAGATGCTGCTCTCTCCTGCCCACTGGGGAGAATGTTGGGGGAACACATTAGCCCTTCCCTCAAACCCTGAGGGGCTGCAAGGCAGAAAGGACCATCGAGGGCATCGGGGGACACAGCGGACAATCATCAAATTACCCAACAGCCTCCGGCCGAGGTGCCCAGGCCAAGGATGACGGCTCTCGTGGCCAGGAAGTGCTTCCTTCATACCGGAGCTGCAACTAGGCCGAGGCAGCAAGGACTCTTCTCTTGGGCGTCTCATCTGGAGGGCTGCTCACACCATTTGGAGTCCTTCAGTAGCAAAAGAGCTTAGCACCGAGTTACCAAGAAGTAGTTGTTAAAAGAAGGACCAGTCAGCTGGCTGGGGTGAGCACCTCCCTCACCTGCCTCAACCCCTCGCCCCAGCTGAGAACAGTTCAAGCTCCCTTCGTAGCTTAGGAAGTACCTAAATAAAGTTGTTTGCTATCTGGGACAATCAGGGATAACGTCTTAGAGTTGGAGGTCCTGGGTTCAAGTCCAGGCTTTGCCACTAACTTGATTTGTAACCATGGGGGCCTCGGTACCATCCCTCTAAGCCCTTTTCCTCATCTGTAAAGCAGGCATAACAACTCCTGAACCTCCTGTGTCCAGGAACACTCTCAAGGAAAGTGGCAGATTATAAAGCATCTGTATATGGAAATGAGTAAAAGCCTTCTGGGTAACGAGCCTTCTCTGCTTTAGGAGGAAACCAACAAACACACAGAAAGCTTTGGAAGCTGGGTCAGGCCCCGAGAGCTCTCAGAACACTTTGGAGGGACCAGGGGCCATGCTGGCCACATTGGCCCTGCCACCGTGACCCTGGACAGGTCTTTTGACCACCTGGGCCTCGGTTTCCTCCTGGATAAAATAAGGGGCTAGCTCCTCAAGCTGTGATCAAGGCTCCCAGAGCCCCATAAGGCTAGACTGCTCCAGAGTCCCTCAACTCATCCAGCTCCCCCATTTGGCAGATCAGGAAAAGTTAAGTGACCATCCCAAAGTGACTCAGGCATAGATCATTAGCTCTGGGAGGGACGTTCCAGATCATCAATTCTAATTCCCTCAGTTTGGAAACCCAGAAAGAGGAAATCATTTCCCCGGGGTCACCCAGGAAATTGTCTTTTCTCAAGCTCCCCTTTCTTGCCCTCTCCTGGCCCCCCTCACCAGCCCTGTTGATATGAGAGTAGGGCCGCTCAGGTGAAATCAGCCTCCATCATCGTCTTGAATTAATAAGATTTGGGCTGGGCTGTGCGGGCTGCTTGGAGCTATCCTGAAATGTTTGTTGTGGCATTGCTTCCGTTTTTTTGAGTTAGAGTGTGGCTGTTTTTAGGTGGTGGTTATTTTAATGGGGGGGTTGTGTGTGGTTTTTTGAGGGGGTGATACACCCAAGCTGGGCTAAGGGGAAGACTTGGAAATGTCAATCAGAAAAGAATTCAAAAGGCCCTGGGATCTTTGAGGGCTTCCAGCTAGGGAATCGTGACTGACCTGGGGCTCGGGTGGGGTGACCAGGTGTGTGGAGCCAATGTGATCTGAAGCAGCCAGAGTTGGGGTTAGGAGATTCCCCTCCTCACTCAGGCCCTGACTACTGGTAATTACTAATAGTAGGAGTAGCTGCCCTTTCTATGGGGCTCTCCGTAGATGACCTGATTGGACCAGTCTTAGGTTGGGCAGCAGTTCTGTACTCTGTAAAATAAAGGGGTTGGATGGCATCAGACTCTTCTAGCTCTGACATCCCATGTTCTCTGCTCTAAGGTCCCTCCCTAATATTCCACATTCTCTGACATCCACCATGCGCACCTAAGACTGTTCTTATAGGTCATTTCTTGGAGTGGCCCAATACCTAAGATCCCCAGGTTGGACAATGGCCCACCTAGGGTTCTTTGCAGTCTCACTGATCCAATCAGCTGCTCAGAGGTTGAGAACGGGGCTGAAGGTCCAGCATTTTTTTGACTGGCTTTCCTGAGGGCTTATTTACTTTTAACTTAAACAGGAGCTATTTTGCAAGGCCCAGTGTCCTCAGCAAGGAAGGGCTATTTTCCCCCAAGATCCCTCCCAGCTCCATGACTGTCCCTGTCCATACCACCAAGATCCTACCATGCACACAGAGCCAATCACCAGAGCACACACTTTCCAAATAGGGTAGCCCATTCCTTCCCTGCACAAATCTACCACTCCTTGGCCCAGATTATCTGCGCTTCCTACAGGGATGTGGGAAATTTCCCCCCCCCACCTCCAGGAAGTCTTCCTTGACCGATTCTGTCTACACCGACCTTTCTCCTCTTTCTCCTTGGAGCATTTGGAGTCTGTCCAGTTCCTTGTGTTGTTTGGGATCTCGTACATTGTGTGTCTCCAGCTGGAGCTGTGAGCACCCCTAGAAGTCATTTCCTCTTTGGCCTCCCCTACACCTCTTGGCACTGGCACTGAGCACACAGTAGGGCTTGCTCCTGATTATCCAACTGGTCACCCCTTGGATAAAGGGGCCCAACCATGAGGCAGAGTATTGTTTCCTTGTCATGTAACCTTGGCGAGCCCCTCCTCATCTCTGAGCCCATTTCCCTATCTGTAAAATGGGGATAATATGACCTGTATGTCCTTTGTCCCAGGCTGGCTTTGAGCAAAGCATTCTGCAAACTTCTGGAGCAGGATGGAAATGGGAGTGAGATTTGTTAATTCTTGGGTTTTCTCCATCTGGTCTAGAGCGCAGGCATCCGGCTGAAGAAGGACCCATCCTCAAAGAGAGCAAGCGTGGTGGAGCCCATGAAGACGAAAGCATCCACCCAGGAGGATTCAGAAGGTAGGACTCTAGACTTGCACTTCCTGCCCTTGGGGCTAGCTGGGTGGCTCAGAGAGCTGAGTTCATTTCAACCGGGACTTCAAGAAAAGCCCATGTGGGGCCTGCAGTGAGATTGCCTGTGGACTGGCCCTCACTGTCCAGCTCAGCCTTGGCACCTCCTCTCCCTCCGCCTTCTGAGGGCTTAGCTTGTGCCCAAGGTCAGCGGGAGAGGTCATCTCTGATACATGCGAGTGGAGACTTCCTTCTTCTCTTTAAATAGGCAATGATGATAACCAGGTAAGTCCTAGTTGCAGGGAGGGTGGGGAGCCCAGGGGAGGGAGGCAGGGCGGAGAAGGGCATAATCTATGGGTGGAGTCATGTTCCCCTTTCGCAGCTGGGAATGTGGGGAGAAGAGCATGGAGAGAGCTGAGTGGGTGCTGGAACCCAGGGTGGGTCGAGGGTCCCAGGCAGGGGCCGCCGGCACGTGGCCCCCAGCCGCAGCATCTGGGGACTCCTAGTTTCGCCGGACAGGGTGCCACATGGACACAGGCTTGCGCAGGGTGGCCAGCATCTGGTTCCAGTGGGTGATGCCCATGCCGCTGGCCAGTGGGCCAATGATGACATGGCCGATGTTGTCGGCCCGCCCGTCGCTGCCGCACTCGGCCACGGTCACTCTCAGGGACAGGTCCTGGTGGGGGAGGGGACAGGGGAAAGCAGGATGATTGCCCAGAGCCCAGGGATGGGCATGTGCCCTGGCCCGCCCCTCCCCCACTCAGGCAGGGATGACCCAGCCTCCTGGACCAAAAGAGCCTTCCTTCCTTCCTTCCTTCCTTCCTTCCTTCCTTCCTTCCTCTCCCCAGCTCAAGGAGGCCCTCTCTTGTTCCTCCTCGGGCTCACTAGGGCGCTCCTCTCCCCGACGGCACGTGGCCGTCATGGGTCCTCGAGGGCGTGTCGGGAACAGGGACTGTAGAGAAGGCCATTTCGCTCTTTTCTTTCCTTTCGCCTCCATTCCCGTGTCCCCTACAGGACGAGGAAGATGGTGCAGACCCAAATACGTGTCTGCAGAATTGGGAGGCGTGTGTGGCCCCCTGGCTGCCGCCAGCGCGCCCCCTTGTGGGACTCTGAGGCAGCACAGCCGACCCTGATGGAAGGCCGGTTGCCTAGCGACTGACTGGCAAGAAGGCAGAAAGGTGAATTACAGGTGTGTGGGAGGCAGGGATGAGGCCAGGAGCTGAGGGAGAGAGGCAGGGGGGAGGGGGGCAGGGAGCATCCGAGGGGATGCTCGACCCATTGTGCCTGCTCTGACCCACAGAGTTCCTCCTTCCTCCAATCTTGGGGGCTTTGGGAAAAGCCTCTCAGTAGGGCGGGAGGACAAACTGGGGAGGTAGGGAAATAGGCCAGCCCTGGGGACGAGGGCAGGAGCCTAAACAGAGAGATCCAGGAACCCCAAGAAAGCTGAGGGCTGCAGCTGGGAAGGCCCATCTCTGCTCTGCACTGGTGCCTGAGATGAGTCAGCCGCAGGGTACGTCCTGCTGAGTGGCCAGTGAGCAGAGGGACGGAAGGCCGAAGGTCTGTGGGCTCCAGGGAGGAAGCTTCCCACCCTACCGAGTCATGGGTGGGGACAGGAATGACCGGGGAGAAAGTCTGGAACGTCTAGGCCCTTGGCCACAGGACATATGCCTGCCCTGGACTCGCTCTCTCCCTCATGGTGACCCTCAGACACAGGGGGTGTCAGAAAACCAAGTAAGGGTGGTCCCGAGCCGACCTCCAGGGAGCACCCTGCAGAGTTCACCAAATCACCTTTCTGGAGGCTAGCCCTCTGACGTCATCACTGTGTGAGTCCCCTTGTCATTAGGGGCCTCACCCAGTGCCTCTCTCTGCTCTTCCCCAGTGGACTTAGCTTATGTTTGCTCCTGCCACTAGACGGCAAGCTTGAGGAGGGCAGCAGTCATCTGCTCCAGGCCCTCGCACGAGCCGTTCAGTCTCAGTGGATGAATGGGACCCTAGGCCTCCTGGCCCTGTGCTCCCAGCCCCGACCCCTCACCTGTAGCACGATGGCCGGGACGGAGAAGATCATGGCCTCGTTGAACACGGGGTGGGCGTCATCCCTCTTCACAGCCGTTTTCTTCTTGCTTATCTTCCTCCCGTCCTGCAGCAGGTATACCTTGACGAAGGGATCTGTTTGGGGAAGCAGCGGAAAGTCCAGGCGAGGACCCCACCTGCCCACCTGCTATGGCCGCCCCTTCCCCCCCATTTCCAGGATGCCAGCTCCCCACTTGGTCTGAGGGCCGGCCCTCCCGCCCCACCCCACCCCCTGCTCTCCTTTGGGCTCCAGCAGGCGTCCCTCTACTAGTGCAAGCTGGCACCTTTCCTGCTGTTTGGAGCCTTACCCAGTGGCCTGGGAGTCTCCTGGGCGTGGCTGGAAGCCACGAGGCTGGCTCCTTCTCCACTGTGCTACCCTGCCTCACCGTCTTGGAGCAGGGGCTCCAGCAGCCAGATTCCCCAGGCTCGTTGCTCCCTGGTGCTTCTCGGCCTCGGGAGCGCCACCTGCAGCCTCCTGCTACCAGGTATATGGGCTCTGCCCTCGCCTTCCACCTTCTACCGTGGGCTCAATTAGCAGCATTACCTCCTGCCATCGTTCAGTCACTCAGTCAGTCCACAAGCATTTCTTAAACACCTACTGTGTGCCAGGCACTGCGCTGAGCTCTGGAGATGCAAGGCCAGGCAAAAACAGGCCCTGCCAGCAAGAAACTCACAGTCTAGTGGGGGCAACACCATGTAAACCAGCTACCTGCAAGATATATACCGACTCGGTGGAAGATAGTGTCAGATAATAGCTAGCAGGGGCAACCAGGACAGGCCTCCACTTTTCTTCATTCATTCATTCATTCTCCCTCCTCCCCTGCCCAGGCTTGTGGCCATCTCCAAGACCTGTGGCAGTCTCCAGCCCACTGAGTCCCAGTGGCTGCCAAGGAACCTGACTTAGGGGGCTCCTAATGAACACATCGCCTTCTTAGTGCAGTCTTCTGTGTGCTCACCTACTCTGTTATGCAGAGGGCTTGGTAAACCTGAAAGCTCTCTAACTGTGAGTGATTTCTAAGTCTCAACTGATTTAGACCTGGGCTCCCAGGCTGACTGAGCAGGCATAGACCTGACCTGACCTCGCCCAACTCCCTTTTGGAAGTGACCTGCAGAGAAGGACGATGGCCTGGCCAAGGTCACACAGCCTGCTTGGTTCCAGGTCTGTACGCCAGCCCTCAGGACCAGCCAGGGTACACCACTCTGGACTTCCCTGCCTCCAGCCTCCCGAGAGCCCCGTTGGACAGGCATTGATTAAAGCACCTGTCCGGTGCCAGGCGGCATGCCATGCGCTGGAAACCCTGAGGCAAAGCCTGAGTCGGTTCTGCCTTGGCGTTTGGCCTGAGCGCCAGGGCAGCGGAGGAATGCACGCCGGATTGCGCAGCTGAACCCTGAAGGAGGCTCAGGCTCGGAGGGGAGGTGGTGAAGGGGTGCCGCCGGCCGGGCAGGGGGAACAGCCTGTGGAGAGGAAGGCCTAGAGGAGGAGTGTGGTCCTTGGGAGGGACAGGGGTGGGAGAGGCGCCTGCACAGGGGACTTTCAGCGTGCCTCTTAGGCTGGAGGCCGCACGGGCAGATCTGGCCTTCAGGAAGGTCACTCTGGCTGCTTTGAGAGGAGGGATTGGAAGGGTAGCACCGGCCGGGAGGCAGGCCGGGGGACCACAGCAGCCCACAACCAGGCTGGCCGGAGGGGACCCAACGCAGAATGGGATAGACTCAGCGCCTGGCTGGACAGGAAGGAGGGGATGCAGGGACCCGAGGACGACCCTGAGGCTCTGCCTTGCTGCCCTCGGAGCAAACAAGGGCCAGCTGGCAGGTGGAGACCCGCCCTGAGTAGCCAGGGCTGGCGAGACAGATTGATGGCCCAACTGGGGGAGCTCCGTGGGACCAGCAATGACCACTCCCCAGGCGGCTTGCCCAGGGCTACCCCAGCAGCCCTGTCTGATGCTGGATTTGAACCCAGGTCTCCCAGACTCCGAGTGGAGCCTTCAGTCGGACAAGCTGTGTCCCAGCGGGGGATGGGACAAGGACGAGGAGACGACTCGGAGAACCGTGACTGCCCCCCGGGAGGGCCCTGCCCTGGCAGCGGCGCCCCCTCCCCATCAGCGCAGGCTGGGCACGGACGGGC